AGTTCCCTCCGATCGACCCGGCATTTTCTCTCCAGGTGCAGAAAGACTAAGAGAGCAGCTGCTTAAAGTCATTACATCGTTGAAACACCGAAGAGGCTGTCTGCAGGCCAGGGTCTTATTATTGGGTGAGGTCTTTTTAGAAGCTAATTTTCCGATTTGGGGGTTTTTCCATCTTACAGTGCTGGAAGTGTACTGCCCAGCAGCCATCTCACCCTGCAACTCACAACTGGCAGCCCCCCACTGGAGCTCAGCAGGTGTGAGCCTGGTCAGTACCTGGAGGGGAGACTCCTGGGAAAAACTAAGGTTGATGCTGGGAGAGGTGTGAGTGGGGCCAGCAGGGGGCGCTCTCACCCTGCGGTCTGTGTGGGTCCTGATGCCCCAGTATAGTGACGGGGGACACTGGACTGTAAACAGGCGCCGTCCTTCGGATGAGACGTCAAACCGAGGTCCTGACTCTCTGTGGTCATTAACAATCCCGGGGCGTTTCTCGAAAAGAGTAGGGGTGTCACCCCGGCGTCCTGGCCAAATTTTACCCGATATCTCGGGATTAACGCTGGAAGTGTACTGATTGAGGGATGTTGTTCAATATGGTTTTGTATTGCGGGTTACAGGTTTACGAGCTCTTGATAGGCAGGACAAATCGGGCAATAAAGGCTCCTTCACCTTCGAAAGCAAGGCGACACTTCCTAACCTTTTAAGACGTCAGGGCGAAGGCCTCCTGTTTTGTCACTGTAAAATCACCATGCGACACGAAATATTGGCAAATAAGGCCTTCACTTGTGTATTAACTACCTGACCGAAGCGATCAATTCGAATTATGTTGCCAGACGGTCGTTTTTTACCCCATTTTTGCTTGGGCTAACGAGATTATTTTTTTCATCTCCTTTTATTTGTTGAATATAGTCGCTGAACAGTATACTTGGTGGCGGTAGTGGGATTTCCCATTACCTGTAAAGTGCTTTGAGTTTCCAGAAAGGCGCAATATAAGTGTGAACAATTATTATTATTTACAGATCACGTTCAAAGCAACATCAGTCACTATAATATAAGATGCAGGTGAAGTTATATGCTTGTTAACAGATTAGATACACAGACCGCAGGGTGAGAGCGCCCCCTGCTGGCCCCACTAACACCTCTTCCAGCAGCAACCTTAGTTTTTCCCAGGAGTCTCCCCTCCAGGTACTGACCAGGCTCACACCTGCTGAGCTCCAGTGGGAAATTCCCAATAATCAAAAGGCTGTCTTTATGCTCTTTGTTTGACCGGAAGAAGACCTGACACCACTTGAACGGCAAAAGTAAAAATTCAATCCGCAGATGTCAAACATGATGGAAAAACTCCCGCTTTTTCATCTATCCCAGAAAAGAAACCCATCTGGGAGAAGAGCTGAAAACATCATAGACAAGATCCAGAAAACCCCACAGACACCGATCTGCTAACACTGTCTGGCCTAAAATTTCCCTTTAAATCCCAAGGCCAAGAGTTCACCAAAACAGGACACCCCCTCATATTAATAATATAATCCAAGCAACGTCATAATGACTTTATTTATACCACCTTTTTTTAGGGTACACGGTATTATCCCCCGGTGTCCTGGCCAAATTTCCAATTGGCCCTTACCAATCATGGCCTCCTAATAACCCCCCTCTCTGAACTGGCTTCATCCCTCTGCTCTCCTCCCCACTGAGAGCTGGTGTGTGGGGAGCGTTCTGGCGCACTATGGCTGCCGTCGCATCATCCAGGTGGATGCTGCACATT